TGGTGCACCTTGTTCAGATCAGTGAGAAATTGTTGGGTTGTTTCAGAGCAACCATTGTGCAAGGCGATAATGCCATCCATGTAACGCATAAGTACAACTGGTTGGTTGGGAAGAGGGGAGACGTATTTGCGCCAAAATTCAGCCATAAAAATGTTGGTATAAGAGGGGGCTACTGGGGTACCCATCGCTGTGCCAGTCAGCTGGAGAAAATTTTGATTGTTGAATGAAAAATTATTGAGGGTGAGGACTAATTTCAACAGTTTGCAAATTTCTAAAGATCATCATCATCATCATCATCATCATCATCATCATCATCATCATCATCATCACCATCATCATCATCACAGACTAAACAATTCCTGGTTGTTGTTTTTTCTTAAAACATAACAATTTGTACCATTGCTGGCACTTTTTTATTTACGTAACTTGCAAATATCAGCACCAAAACCTCTGCTTTGGAATCGAACCTTTGCCAAGTGCGTTCAAAACGAAGAACCTCGTTATTGCACCACATGTGACGCTTTTGGAGAATCAAATTTAAACGGTACCCTGTGCCTCTTCTCACACAAATAAGGAGAGACATACCGCTTTTTCACTGTTACTGTTGAACCCTATGTGTCTTGGTCTGATGGTGGCAACGTGATACAATATCAGTATTCCAACTTTGACATGAACAAATATATCCAGCAGAAATACTGTTCTTTGTGCTTAATGCGCAGTGCACATTGGCCATTTAATACATTCAATTAATTTGATACTGCCAGGGTCAGCCAAGGTTTCATGAAGGACTAAAACTGTCATTTTGGCAGTTATTGATTAAATTCTCCCAAATCAAACATGTTTGTTTTTCTAGGTCACAAATCTGATGGGTGCTATGCGTCGGGTGGAAGAAGCCAATCACAGACTAGTGGACTGCACGAGTCAGAGTCAGATCTCTTGTTTTGGCGCGCGGAATGTGACAATGTGCTGTGTTGATTTGGAGAGACTACGTGAACGGCATTAAAATTTCCTAAGGCTATGGGATTCAAGAACCTCCCAATACAACAACCGCGACAGTTGGCACTTTGAGCCATTATTTGGAAAAATTGCTGTGTTGTAAGCAGCTTAACCCATAGGTCTACAACGTTGCGTGGTGCCGGATATGACCTCTCCACCAAGTTTTCGGTCATCAGGGGTCAAAGGTTTCTCTACTTTAACTTCTGGCTCAAATTTGACAAAGAAAAGCAATGTGTGTAGTGAAGCCGCAATTAATCGACCCGACCCACCCTGCCAATGGGCATCCGGTATTACGTTCCACACCATATTATGTTGACAATAAATTAATCAATATAATAACAAGGTAGTTCAGCACTGTTATTTTAAAAAGATGTGTCCATTTTAGGATGGCTGTCCAGAAAGTAAACTTTAAAAAAGCTCATAACGAAAAGTAAAAGAGATAAATCTTTTTCTTCTCATGCTCCACTGACAGACGTCAGCAAATCTCCTGCACTCTTCTCCGCTCTCCGCTTTTCTCAGTGTGTCCTGCAGCTCCATAGCTATCCATTCACAGATGCTTTCCTCATATCTCTTCTTCTGTCTGTCTCTCCTTCGTCCTCCCTGCAGAGTGCCTTGTAGAATGGTTTTAGCAAGACCTGAAGAACGGGTAACATGGCCATACCATTTCAGCTTGCATTGCTTGACCAATGATAGAAGGTCGGTGTAAGGCCTAATTAAATCCTTTTACAATCTGTAAACTTCGTGAGAACGGGAATGCATTCTACCT